CCCAACACCGGCCACATCCCCACGACGCAGAGCAGAGAGCAGGGTGATGGGTGCATATTGCACCCAGTGGGGGTCCGGGGGTGTCTCCCCCCTGTAACTCACAGCTCGTCGGGGCAGTTTTCGGGGCGCTCCAGGACGCCGTTGTCCATGACGAAGCGCAGGACCTGCTCGTTGGACATGCCCTGGTAGGGCTGCTCGGCCAAGGTGGCGATCTCCCACAGCACCACGCCAAAGGACCTGGCCGGACAGCGCCGTCAGCCACGGGATGGACCCCGAGACCCCCAGGGGTCCCCCATGACCATGACCCCCATGAGCATCACCATGACCATGGCCATGACCACCACCACCACCATGACCACCAGCATCATGATGACCATCACAATGACCGTCACCATGACCACCACCACCATGACCATCAGCATCACGATGACCATGACCACGACCATGACTATGCCCATGCCCACAACCACCATGACTCTCACCATCACCATAACAACCTTGCCCATGCCCATCACCACCACGACCAACACCATAACCATCACCAAGACCACCACTATGACCATACCCATGACCACCATGACCCTCACCATCACCATCATGACTTTGTCCATGGCCATGCCCATCACCACCATGACAAACACCACGAGCACGACCATCCCCATACCCATAACCTCCAAGACCACCACCAAGACCATCACTATGACCATACCCATGACCACTATGACCATGACCATCACCATCACGACCTTGCCCATGGCCATGCCCATCACCACCATGACCAACACCACCACCACGACCATCACCATCCCCATAACCACCACAACCAACACCATAACCATCCCCATAACCACCCAGACCACCACTATGACCGTACCCATGACCACCATGCCCATCACGCCCTTGCCCATGCCCATGACCCACCACACATCGGACTGCGTGTTGAAGATGCCATCTTTGAGGGCTTCGGGGGACATCCAACGGACAGGGAGCAGCCCCTTCCCACCTTTCCGATAATAATCCGTCTCGTAGATGTCGCGGGTCATGCCAAAATCTGGTGGAGGAGGAGGAGGAGGAGGAAGAGGAGGAGGAGGAAGAGGAGGAGGAGGAAGAGGAGGAGGAGGAAGAGGAGGAGGAGGAAGAGGAGGAGGAGGAAGAGGAGGAGGAGGAAGAGGAGGAGGAGGAAGAGGAGGAGGAGGAAGAGGAGGAGGAGGAAGAGGAGGAGGAGGAAGAGGAGGAGGAGGAAGAGGAGGAGGAGGAAGAGGAGGAGGAGGAAGAGGAGGAGGAGGAAGGCTCGAGCACAGGGAGGTGCAGGGGAGCCCACCCACCTCCGATCTTGACGGTGAAGTCCTCGGACACCATGCAGTTGCGGGCGGCCAGATCGCGGTGCACGAACTTGTTGGCGTTGAGGTAGGCCATGCCATCGGCGATCTCCCCCGCCATCTGGATCATGTCCTTCAGCGACGGCGGCGGCAGCCCGGGGTTGTTCTGAGCCATACAGAGAGTCCCAGCTTAGCGGGGAACAGGCCAGGACCCCCCGAAGGGATGGGCTGGGCTCCCCTTCACCCATCGCGGCCAAGCCCCTCACCTCGGCGTCAGGCCTGAGCGAGCGCAGGTAGCTCTTCAGGTCTCCGCGGGTCATCAGCTCCATGATGACCAACGCTGGCTGGCCCTGGGACACGACACCGAGCAGACGGACCTGGGGGGACACAGAGGGGTGGCACAGGAGCAGCCGGACCCCCGCCGTGTCCCCTCCGGCCACTCCGGACGCCCACCTACCACGTGGTGGCACTTGAAGGCTTTCATGACGGAGGCCTCGTTGAGGAACTCGATGCGCTCCCGCATGGTGGCCAACTCGTTGACCGTCTTCAGGGCCACCTTGGTCTCCTCGCCCTCGGCCGTCAGCCCCAGCGCCAGCCCCTCGTACACCATCCCGAAGGAGCCCTGCCCCAGCTCCCGGATCACCGTGATCTTCTCCCGCGACACCTCCCACTCGTCAGGGATGTACACTGTGGGGCGAGGGGGGACCGTCCCATCACCATCACCATCACCATCACCACCAAGACCAAGACTATGACCAAGACCATGGCCACAACCACCAGGTCCAAGCCCAAGATCATGGCCATGGCCACCAGGAGCATGACCATGACCACTAGGACCAGGACCATGGCCACGGCCACCAAGACCATGGCCACCAAGACCATGGCCACGGCCACCAAGACCAAGACCAAGACCATGGCCACCAGGAGCATGACCAAGGCCACGACCACCAAGACCAAGGCCACGACCACAGCCACCAAGACCATGACCACCAAGGCCATGGCCACCGCCACCAAGACCATGACCACCAAGACCATGGCCACCACCACCAAGACCATGGCCACCACCACCAAGACCATGACCACCAAGACCAAGACCATGACGACCAGCACAGGAAGGAAGCCCCTGCCCATCCCCACGTACCAGCCGAGGCACTGAAGTACTCGGGGTTAACGGAGGTGTAGAGCGTCCCACTGGGGTACCCATCGTTGCTCCTGCGAGGGGTGAGCATCACCAAGAGGATGGGGGGCGAGGGCACGGTGTCACCCCCCCAAGACCCTTCCTCGGCCCCAGCCCAGCCCTGGGGGTGCAAGGAGGGGTCTCTACCTCTTCTTGTTGTAGAAGAAGACGAAGACGGCGAGGCAGGAGATGAGCACCATGAGGACCACGGGAGTGACGGTGAGCAGGACGTAGAAGCTGCCCGACTCCTCCTCGGCTGCCAGGAGCGGGCAGCCATGGGTCAGGGCCTGGTCTTCCATCCTGCCCCACACATTGTGGGCAGCCTTGTCCCACCACCACTGCTGGGGCAGAGCCTCCAGCTCCCCGCACCTCCAGCACCTCCTGATCACGGGGTACCTCTGACCCAGAGCATCCCCCAATCCCTTCATCCATCATCCAAGAGCATCCCTGGATCCTGCAGTGTCCTGGTCCAGGAGCATCCCCCAGTCCCCTGGCTCCCCAGTCCAAAACCATCCCCAGTTCTCCAGCTCCCCAGTCCAAAACCATCCTCCAGTTCCCTAGCTCCCCAATCCAGCAGCATCCCCCTCTCTTCTGCATCCTGGTCCAGGAGCATCCCCCAGTCCCCTGGCTCCCCAGTCCAAAACCATCCCCAGTTCTCCTGACCCAGAGCATCCCCCAATCCCTTCATCCATCATCCAAGAGCATCCCTGGATCCTGCAGTGTCCTGGTCCAGGAGCATCCCCCAGTCCCCTGGCTCCCCAGTCCAAAACCATCCCCATTTCTCCAGCTCCCCAGTCCAAAACCATCCTCCAGTTCTCCAATCCAGAAGCATCCCCCTGTCTTCTGCATCCTGGTCCAGGAGCATCCCCCAGTCTCCTGGCTCCCGAGTCCAAAAACATCTCCCAGTTCCCCATTCCAGCAGCATCCCGGTCCAGGAGCACCCCATTATTCTCAGCATCCTGGTCCAGCAGCAACCCCTGATCCTCTTCTCCCCAGTCCAAGAGCACCGCCTTGTTCCCCAGCATCCCAGTCGAGGAGAACCCCCTGATTCTCAGCATCATCCCCAAAATCTGCCCCGCA